AGTTAATAAAAAATATCTTAAACTATATTTCTTATAATATAAGTAAGTTATAAAAATTAATATTTAAAATTTTATTACAATTTTTTAAAAACTTATTAAAATTTTAAATATGCAGGCAAATTTGCCTGCATTACAATTTAAGGGATAGGTATTACTCCAATTTCTTTTCTTTAAAATTTTTCTTAATACATCCTCAGTTAGAAATAGAACTTATTATATAATAAGAACACTAATGGTACTGTAGCATGTTAGCTTTGGCACAAATAGATTTTTGGATCTATAGTCAATAGCAACAAGCCAATATGAGGGTAAAATCCAATATAGTTTAACAATATCTAGAATATTTATAGGTAGTAACTTTTTGTAACACATAATATTTATATACATAAATTAAATAAAAATGCTAAACATGGCTCAGCTAGTTGAGTTAAAAAAAAATTAATAAAAAGGTTATTTAAAAGTTACAAGAAAAAAATTAATCATATTTACTGAATTTAAAAAATTAATTAAGTCAAAATAAAAGGTTTTTAAAAAAAGCATGCTGATTGGATTAATAAAAAGCATGTCATGTTTTTTGGAAGAGTTGGTGTCAGGAATAGGTATGCTTGTGGGTGTTGTCTAGATTTTTGAAAAATAAATTATTTCCTATGTCCAATATAAAAAAATGAAGTCTAAAATTTAATTTCAACACATGGACAACATACCTTTTATAACCAAAGTCGTTTTTGTAAATATAAAGTAGCAAAACGGCATTCATCATATCTCAAATTTCTAATTTAAACATTTTAACTAATTTTAACTATAAATTTATTGATTGCTGAACATAGTCGAATTCTTTTTATATCTCAAAATACAATGATGACGAACATATGCATATTTCTAAATATTAAAAGAATTTTTTTCATTTCTTTTAAAAAAGACTAACCAACTTTCACGTTCAATTTTAACTCAATTGAGACTTAAGATATCCAAGAAATCTTATGAAGATAAATGTTAGATAACAATTTTAAAGCACTACTGTGATACTAAGATCTTTATTTATTTGAAAACATCACGAGTTTTAATAACCAGTTTCCTGAGATACCTTAGTAATGTTTTAACTCATAATTTAAAGCAGACGAGAATTTCTTTAAACTTTTTTGTATACTTTATTAATGGTGAAGATATCATCTAAACACTGTTAAAATACATTAAATCTATCTAATATTTACATAAAACTCTAGAATAAGATGGAAAAAAACTTGGGTGTTTGACTTTTTTTTGCATAATGAAATAATTAATTGTTCATAGATGTTAACCTTTTTCTTTTTTTTTTTTTGAATGCATGTTTTTCTTATAAAACCATAATCATATATCATAGGGGTCCTATATCTTAAATCAATAAATATTGTTGAAAAGCTTATAAAGGTTCTTAGAAATAATATAAATCACTGAAATCCATCGATGCTTGTGAGTCATCAGGAAAGTTGGATGAAATTAACTGATTGTTACAGAGTTCATTCGAAAAAATGTCGGAAGTATTTAAGCATTCTGGATTAAATATTCCGAGTTGGTTATTAAAAACAGTTGTTAAAGTATTGTCCGTGATATTAGCTAAGGCATCAATGAGTAGCTGTTCTGTTGGTAAATTAATCAAGCAATCGGTAAACTGTTGTTCTTCGATCTGGATTGGCGAATTGATCAAGCTATTGATAAGCTGTTGTTCTGCGGCTTGGATTGGTGAATTGATCAAGCTATCGATGAACTGTTGTTCTTCGGTTTGGATTGGTGAAT